GCGTCTGCCTACTTCTTCCGCGACCACGCTGCGCTTACACCGCTTGCCATGCCTGCCGCTATCGCACTTGCTGACCCCTCCCCTGGTCATGTAGTTGCTCGCAGCTCCACTACCCTTCCCTGTCCAGCGGTTCCCTCGGGTTCCCTTACAGGCCTGCACATCCCCTTGTTCTCCCAGAACTTAGTTGGTGCCGGCTGTCTTCAGGACCTCGGCGTCACCACTACATTCACCGGTCACAAGCGGTACGGCGTCTGTACCGAGGCCGCCTCACGTTCCCTCCTTGCAACGTTCCCTCCTCACGTTCCCCCGGGACCCGGTGTCTGGCCTCTTTACGCTGGATACTGCTCCCCGCCCAGTTCGACTGTTCCCCCTGGGTCCTGCATCTACCCAGGTCGCCGCTGCGTGCTTGTGTCAGTCGCTCACTCACCCGTCACTTCTGTGGCACCACCCCTAGGTCACCCCGCGCTCCCACCTCTGCGTCACATGTCCCGACACGGTCTCGTCCTAGGTCTCCCTCCATCATTTCCTACCCTCCCTCCCTTGTCTGCGCCGCCGTGCACGCCCTGCATCGAGGGCCGGCTGTGCCATGCTCCTAACTCCTCCTCGCTTCGTCCTGCCACCGCACCCCTTCAGACCCTGCACCTGGACGTCTTAGGCCGAGCCCCCGTCCCTGGACTGCGTCTCGTCGACGACTCCACGCGCTACACCACGGTGTTTCCCCTGGAGCGGAAGGCTGATGTGCCTGACGTTCTTATCCCGCGAGCTACGCGCCTCCATCGCGGTCTCCCTGTGTTGTGTCTCCTATGTTGTGCGGAGGGAATCACCCTGTTGTACACCCTATCGGACTCCCCGCAGAATGGGGTCGCTGAGCGACGCATCGGCTTAGTCATGGAGGTGGCTTGTACCTCCATGATCCATGCCGCTGCACCCCATTTTCTGTGGCCGTTCGCCGTTTGCGACGCCGCTCACCAGCTTAACCTCTAGTCGCGCTCTCAGCGGCCGCAGGTTTCGCCGACCCTTCTTTGGATCAGGTTCCCTGGTGACGCGTCCGCGTTCCACGTCTGGGGCTGCCTTGCTCATGTTCGTGCCTCTGGTACGGACAAACTCACTGCTCGCACTGTCCCCTATGTCTTCCTTGGTTTCTCCTTTGACTCGTTTGACTGGCACTTCTACCACCCGCCGTCTCACCGCTTCTTTCACTCCCGTAACGTCACTTTCGACGAGTCTGACTCCTTTTACCACCGCTTTCCCCACCGAGGTCTCCCGGTTTCCCCGCCACTATATCTGGTCCCCACTCTCCCGGTAGCCCTTGCTCCCCTTCCTCCCCATCCTGCCCTGTCTGGTGTGTCTCACGCCACTCCCCTCCCGTTGGTTGTCCCGGTCGAGGAGTCGGCTGACTCTGGTAGCCCTGCGGTAGAGTTCTTGCCACCTGTCTCTCCTTCGGTGTCTCCTCCTCTGCCGTCGCAGTTGTCGCAGCCGCAGCCGCCGACGTCGTCGCAGCAGCAGCAGCCGTTTGTTGACCCTAGGGGTGCTGGCGTTGAGGAGGGTGCTAGTCCTGGGGTTCCTATTGTGGCTTGTCCCGGCAGGCTCGAGGGTGGCACCGGTGCTGGAGAGAGTTCTCACTCTGGGGCTGCTCGTTCTGGAGGTGCTGGAGTGGAATGTTCCAGAGGTAGCCGCGGTGCACCTGGCGGTCCACAAGTCGGCGACAAGCAGCAACAGCAGCAGCAGTCGCCGCTGATGTCCGCCCTTCGCGTGCTCGGCTTTCCCTCCCCTGACCGCTTGCCTGCGCCTCCCCCGCCACCTCCTCCCCTTCCTGTTCACGGTCCTATGCTTCCTCCGCCAAACTTGTCCCCAGCTCGTTTTCCACCCCGTTCCCCTCGTGTTACTCCTCCTCTATCTCCTGACCCGACGCCTCCGTCTCACGTCTAGTCTCGCTGTCCCTCTAGTGCTCATCCTGTCTCTCCTGTTCAACGTTCTCACCCTATATTGCTTCGTTCCCACGCGTCTCGTCCTCCCCTCCTGCCTTCGCCTCCTCCGTCATCGCTCGCTGTCGCGCCTCCCCCTCTGTCTGACAGCCTTCGTGTTGCTCGTCCTCTTGTTCCTCGTTACCCGCCCTCTCTGTTCCTCTCTCGAGTTTTGACGCTCTTGTCACTGCTGTTGCTGACTTTGGCTCTACCCGTTGCCTTGACTACGCTACCCATTTGATCTCTGACCCTGTCCATCCGTCTGTCGGGGGTGCTCTTGCCCTCGGCAGTGACGTCATAGAGGACAGGCAGTACGAGCTTGCTTTTCTGTCCGAGACGGCTCCCCATCTCTGCTTCATGTTGCTAGTCCTTGAGGGTGACCTAGACGCCTTTGACATCCCGACCCTTTGCACTTACGTTGAGGCGACCTCAGGACCCTAGGCCTCTTAGTGGATAGCTGCCATGGAGCAGGAGATGGCATCTTGGAGATCCACCGGCACCTATGTCGATGCAGTTCCCCCACCTGTGGTGAACGTAATCGACGGCCGATGGATCTTCAAGGTAAAGCGCCCCTCTGGACGGCCACCTGTTTTAAAGGCGCGCTACATGGCTAGAGGCTTCAGTTAGCGAGAGGGGGTGGACTTCTTTCATACCTTTGCCCCGACCCCGAAGATGACTGCTCTTTGGGCACTGCTAAACGTAGCAGTACAGCATGACTACGAGCTCCACTCCCTAGACTTCTCCATTGCCTATCTTCCAATCAGCCTACACGAGTAGGTCTACATGCGCCGACTGCAGGGCTTCACCGGTACCTTCCCCCCTGGGACCTAGTATCTCCATCGATGCCTGGTCTACGGCTTGCGACAGGCGGCCCGTGAGTGGCACGATACGCTGCGTACTATGCTAGCTAACCTGCAGTTCTTTCCATCCTCTGCAGACCCTTCGCTCTTCGTTCGTGTTGGCCAAACTCCATTCTACATCCTTGTCTACGTAGACGACCTAGTCTTGGCGGCACAGGAGCTCCGCTGGCTGACCTTCTTCCTCGCGGACTTAGGGTAGCGGCCTAGCTCTGCCCCGGTTCTGTACGCTGACAACAGGGCCATGATCCTCCTGTGTCAGGAGCCTCGACTGGAGGGGAGACTGAAGCATATCCAGCTGCGGTACTTCCTCCTGCGCGAGCTACAGCAGCGTCGCCATGCCCGCGTAGTACACTTGGCCTCCGGTGCCAACACAGCTGATATCTTTACTAAGGCTCTTGCGCCTAAAGATAATCAGCGGCACTGTGTACAGCTTGGTCTAGTTCCTGTAGACTCTCACTTGCTAGGACCTTGATTGTGTACTCCTCTTTATATATATCTTTCAGACTGGCCTTGTGGCTTCTCTTTCAGTGGTCGGAGTAGTAGTGCCACCCTGGTTTGCTCATGTCTTGTTTGTTCTCTTGCTGACTGGTCTTCGGACCCCTGCCTCAGAGGTTGGACTAGTAGTGTCACCCTGAGCTGTGTTCTTTTTGCTCAGCACTACCCCATACCTAGCCTAGGGGGTTTGTCAACTTATACATACTTGTGCATGTAGAAGTAATAGGCTAGAATAGGTGTGTGTTCTTAGAGAGTACAACCCGAACCCTATATTTCCCTTGTTCTCTCTCATCTCTAATTATTCTAGTATTCTAACGCGTGTTTGTACTGGAGTGGTGCATACATGCCTAGTGCATCAGCAAGTTGCAGTTGTCGTTGTCGTCTTGGAAAGCGTCGCTTCCATTGTTATAATACTAGTATATGCTAGCTAGGAGTAGGAGGAGCCATGGAATGGCGAGAGGTTTTAGGCTAGGATATTTAACGAGAGAGAAGAGGCTTGGAATAGAAGAGAGGGGGATACAAGAAGGGGGGGTTGTACCCTCTACTGTAGAATCCAGTAACACTTCCCAAGCCTGCCATTATATATCTATCAAATATATAATTTAACACACCCCCTAGGCTTGATAGCTTAAAGCCCACCACACACACAACACACTCAGCCACACACCCCCTAGTACCCCCATACTCAGCAGCACCGACGGCTACTCGAGCAGGGTCAGCCCCTCGGCGCGGGAGGGGGTGACGTCGACAGCGAAGGCAGCGGCTGCAATGGCGGCGACGGCGGCATCGTCAACAGCGGCGGCGTGGCCAGCGGCACTAGCTGCGGCGGCGGTGGCTTCGACAACAGCTGTCGGAGCTCGCAGCACCCGGCATCGTGGCCGGGCTCTGCGACGGTGGGACGGTCGGCGCAAGTCAGCCGTCGGCTGCGGCGAGGAAGAGGGGACGCAGTGAAAGGGGGGCGGGGCTTCAGCAAGGGATCTCAGGAGCGTGCCGCCCCGTGTGGCACGTTGGTTGCATGAGGGCGTGCTGGTCAGCGCTAAGGCGGGGCACTGGCTGCCGCCGTCCGTGCCATCCGCGCGCTGGCGGCACGTCGCCACGGTAGCACGACGGCGCCGTCACACTGTCACGGGTCGACGTCGACGACGACGCCACGGCTTGATACATGATTGTGTGTGCATGAGCATAGTCAACATGCAGTTTTATGTTCTATTCGTCCATGCGTATGAAGTGGTAGGATATTGTGTGGTTGATACTGTTGTGATTATATTAACAAATGCGAGATATGTGTTTTAGTACCATATGTTCGCCATATTTTTAGACAGAACACTGGTACTCAAAACATACATAAGAAGTGTATTAGAACAGTCCAGAAGAGTAAAATATATTGTTCAACCAATTTACAGGGGTAGTAACCCTGAACTTATTGGACATGAATCGGCGCACGAAAATTGCAAACCAAATTTAAATGGTTGCTACGCAACCCAAAAACACGCGATCTTGCAAAACGGACGTAATGTGCCGCGTCCTAACGAGCCTGTTCACAGCGTACAAGATTTCCTCTCATCCCATGTCATTCTTTCTCCCCCTCCCATAGAAATTGTCGGTGGTGCAAGGCTGAGTCCTCCGAACCTGACCTGCGTGTCACTGTACTCATTGCCCCCTTGGTCAATCACTTCCTGATCCAACTCTCAATCACATTATCGGATCACATTATCCCATTCTGCGGCGGGCCTATGCGACACACCCTTTTCGTAGTATCCGCTTCCCTTGTTGATGAGCCTCCTAAACGTCTGTTATACGAAGCTGTTATGCTTCGCCCCGAGCCGAAAATCCCTTCAATCGGCTTCGTCGCCTGATACGCAATACATTAGCATTCGCTTCGGGCTGAGGTGTCTCTGTCACGGCCGACGTTTAGCCCCGTCGTGCTAAGCTTGTTTGACAGGGATTCGGCCAGATTTGGTCAAGAGGCTCGGAGTCCAATCGGCTCTGTCGCCTGATGCGACTGATACGCATTACAGTAATATTCGCTTCGGGCTAAGGTGCACCTGTCACAGCCGACGGTTAGCTCCGTCGTGTTAAACCTTTATGAAGCTCTTTTGGCCGGGATTCGGTCGGATTTGATCGAGAGGCTCGGGGTACCTACAACGTGGTGCGGAATCGCAATCTGCAATCGGAGTTTCAACTCGCGGAGCCTTACACTTGCTCAGTCTAAGGCGTAGTGTCGACATCTCGGTCGGATGTAGCAATGATCGGATGTAGCAATCTTCGGGCGTAGCAAACTTCCGGTGTAGCAATAATCAGATTTAGCAATCTTCGAATGTAGCAAGTACCTGTAACGGATGGCCTACCCGAGATTAACCCGCGTGGAACGGAGACGGGTGGCGCTCCTTGTCGTTTTCCTCGTCCTTGCCGCCTGCACGTCTGCTTGGCGTTTCTCTTATCAGATCTGTTTCTTTTGTAGCTCGAAACCAGCTGCCAATGTAGTCGCGAAGAGCGAAAGCGAAGCTGCCTCTAACGCGGACAGCACGGGTCCTGCTGGCTACAGAGATTCAAGCAGCAGCCAGCAGCCATGCGGGTAGCGGGAATGGCGGCGACAAAGGCGGCGAGGAAGGGACCCGGATACAGTCCGATAATTCAGGAAAGGCGGCCAATGACGATGTAAGTTGGCTGTCGCTTCTCCGCTCCCCCCTCCCCATTCCCCCTCTCCACTCCCCGCACTCCATTCCCCATTCTCCGCTCCCCATTCTCCGCTCCCCACTCTCCCTCCCCCCCTCTCCACTTCTTCCCCGCTCTCCCCTTCCATTTCCCAGCCCTCCCTCCCCTCTCTGGCACTGTGTCTGGTGGGAGGCGCGAGGGACTTGAACGCCACAGGGCCCTCCATCACACACCACCTGCTGCCCTCCCTGCTGTTCCCTGCCCCATTTTTCCGTTCCCAGCTCTCCCCCCTTCCCTGGCACTGTGTCTGGTGGGGGGCGCTAGGGACTTGGACGCCACAGGCCCCACCATCTCACACCACCTGCTTCCCTCCCTGCTGCCGTCCCTCCTGTTGCCTCCCTGCATCTCCCCACCCCTCTTTTCCCACCATTTCCTCCCCGTTCTCCAGCCCTCCCTCCCTTCTCTAGCAGTGTGTCTGGTGGGGGGAGCGCGGGACTTAGACGCCACAGGGCCCACCATCACACACCACCTGCTGCCGTCCCTGCTGCCCTTCGACCTCTTCATCCACACACCGTTGGATGAGAACGCCGCGAAGATCTCAGCCCTTGCTCGCGCCCACGCCATGCGCAGCGACCGTGCTACAGCCAACAGCAATAGCAGCAGCAGCAACACACATGGTCAGGGTGACAGTACCCCGAGTGACTATAACGGGCAGCAAGTTGCCGCTGGGAAAATGGCCGGTGCTATAAAGGGAGTGAGAGTGTTCCCAGTAACGCCTGTAGACGCTTCCCTCTATCCTGGCTCAATCATCCTCCTCCCCTGGGGCTCACCAAACGGTGTTCAGGGGATACTACAGTACTTTAGGCTCGTCGAGGGCTGTCTGCCGCTAATAGAACATGAGGAAAAGACAAACCGCGCCGGCCAGCTGTACCGGTGGGTGCTGCGCACGCGGCTGGACGGGTATTGGTCGGCGCCGGCTCCCCCGCTTTCGTCTTTTATTGGTTGGGTGGAGACGGTGGGGGAGAAGGGGGAAGGAGGGAGAGCAGGAGGAGGAGGAGGAGAGGGAGGAGGAGTAGGGGCAGAGAGGAAAGAGGAGGAAAGCACAGGGAAGAAGGCGGTGTATATTGTCCCGTATGGGTCGAATTGGGGAGGAGTGAATGACCGGTTTGGGTTTGGGAGGAGGGAGGAGAGCGTAGTTGCTGTATCAAGGCTGGCGATGCTGGGTGAAGTGAACCGTTACAGGCAGACGATTGGAGTCACACGGTGAGTAAAGCTTCTCGTTGCGGTTACAATGTAAGCAGGAGGAGAGTTGCCTGTCGAGTTAGCGACGGGGAGTGGACAGGCAGACGATTGGAGTCACACGGTGAGCAAAGGCTTCTCGTTGCGGCTACAATGTAACACCAGTAAGTTCGGGAGGAAGGAGGAGAGTGGGTGGCCCTGTCGAGATTAGCGACTCTGGGTGAAGTGAACTGTTACAGGCAGATGATTGGAGTCACACGGTGAGTTGGGCTTCGTTGCTGTTGGCGTGATGGTGTTGACTGTAAGGTGATGTGATTGTAGGTGATGTGATTGTAAGGTGCAGATTGTAAGGTGATCTGATTGTAAGGTGATGTGATTGTAAGGTGATGTGATTTTAAGGTGATGTGATTGTTAGGGGGCATTGGGTTTGGGAGGAGGGAAGAGAATAGTTGTTATATCAAGACTGGCGATGCTGGGTGAAGCGAACCGATACAGGCTGAGCATTGGGGTCACGTGGTGAGGTGGGTTTGGAGTCCTGTGGTGTTGTTTCCATCCCTGCTTCCCCCCGCCCCAGGCAGGTGAACAGAGGGGTCCTTCAAGCTCCAGCTCATTTCCCGAGGCACATTCAAGTGGAGCCAGCCAGCCCAGCCCTTCAACGTACTGCCCTGTGACCCGTCCCAGGCCCTTCCCTTGTCTCCCTCCTCCCTGCCTACTCCCCTTCCGCCCCCATCCGCCCACCCCAGGCAGATGAACTCTGAAGTGACCTTCAAGCTGCAGCTCAAGTCTTGGGGCATTCAAGTGGAGCCAGCCAGCCTGCCCTTCTGTGTGCTCTCCCGCCGGGCCTTCCCAGACACCTGCAGCAGCATCACTGTGTCTATTAACGCGTCTGTGCCTCTAAACGGGGCTAAATGCCAGCCCTGCCACCCGTGCGCCCAGGGAAAGGAGGTGAGTTGAGAGTAGGGAGGAGAGAAGACGAGGTGGGGAGGAGAGTAGGGGGAGGTGGGGTTGTCTATAGACTATAACTTGACACCTACAGCAGCATTACTGTGTGGATCAACGCGTCTGTGCCTCTAAACGGGGCGACATGCCAACCCTGAACCTACGGAACATTTTCACTGGATTTAGTATCAACTGCGCTTCCCCCGTTTCCCACCTCCCCCTTCCGCCCCCAATCCCCTTCCCCCCTTTTCTTCTCCCCCCCACCCTCCCCAACCTCGTCTCCCTTTCCTCTCCCCATCTCCCTTCATCCCCTTCGCCCCCCACCAAACTCTGCATGCCCTCCTTTCGTCCTTGGCTTTTGAATCAGGTCCAAGCCATTTTGAAAGCCACGTCACCATCAGCCAAGACCTGGTTGGGCCAACTGCCTACCCCCCCCCACCCCGCCACCCTACCCCCTCCTCCCTGCCCTTCCCCTTTCCCCCCTTCAAACAGGTCGAAGCCATTCTGAAAGCCACGTCACCATCAGCCGAGACGTGGCTGGGCCCCGTCCAATCAGGAGTCGCGTTCTGTCCGGGGGGGAAGGGGAAGGGGACGGGCGGGTCTGGCAGTGAGGGTTCGTGGCCGTTGGATTGGGAGGAGATCTACCGACGGACGGTGGGAGATGAGCTCGCTGGCAGACAGAGGCGGATCAGGAGGAGAGTGGCTGAGATTGACACGTGCACACGGTTTTTAGAAAAGGTGCGAAAAGATTGGCTTTTTATGCTCCTCCCCCAACACCCCTTGCCATCTGTGCGTGCATTCCGCTCTTGGTGCTCCCAAGCTGCATTATGCTCCATCTACCATTCCAACCCCCCTTATCCCCACAGATAAAATCCACAGTGTCCAGCTAGTATGCCCCCTCCCTTCTCGCCCTCTTCTTTGCCCCCTGCTCTCGATGCTCCCAAGCTGCTTGGCAGTCCACACGTCTCAGTAACCTACCCTACCCTCCTCCTCCACAAACCACCCCTGTCTTCTCAATTGGTCCTTTGTATTGGATAGTGTGGTACAGGCCTTCTTCTCTCTTTCTTTCCCCCCAACAGATGAAGGGGACAGTATCAGACTGGGATGCCCCCTTCCCTCTGGCATTGTGTATGCACTCTGCTCTTCTGTGCTCCCAAGCTGCTTGGTACACTGCCTTCCACCCCACCCCCCATCACCCCCCATCACCCCTCATCATCCCGCATCACCCCCCATCACCCCCCATCACCCCTCATCATCCCCCATCACCCCCCATCATCCCTCTCCACCCCCAGATGAAAGCTACGGTATCCAGCTGGGATTCGCCCTCCCCGCTCACCCTCTGTGTGCGCTCCGCTCTCGGTACTCCCAGGCTGCTTGGTGGCCCACAGTAGTCTACCCCCCACCACACCCTATCGTCCTTGCGTTCTTTCCCCAAACAGATGAAGGGAGAAGTATCCAACTGGGACGCCCCCTCTCCTCTCGCCCTCTGTGTGCGCTCCGCTCTCGGTACTCCCAGGCTGCTTGGCGGCCCGCAAGACTCCTTCCCTGCCTTCGCTCCATTGCTCTCCCCCAAAAGGTGACCTTTCCTCTCTTCCACATGTGTGCTACCCTCCCCATCTAGGTGACTTCCTTTCTCTCGTTCCAGGTATCAACATCTCTTGTTTTGGTCGTTGTGAGAAAATACAAGGATTACGGGGTAATGAAACGAGGAGAAGTCAAGAGGAGGTGCAAGACACTTCAAGAGGAAGTGTCTTGCAACGTTGGTGAGGTGGGAGATTTTTTAGTCGACTAAAAAATCACCTTGGGTGGAAGGCCTCCCACGCCGATTCCTCCTCAACGAATCAGATCGCGCTTAGACGATGTAAACGCAGCTCCTCACCAGCCTTCACTTTTTTAGGACTACCTGTCCCGTGGTACAGGCTACAGCTCACCCTACCTATACCCGTACGTGATATGTGGTTGAGCTGTGCACTTACGACAGCTATCCTGTCCCCCTAAATGTCTATTCCCTCGGCTACAAAATCACAATCTCTCTCTACTCTCCCTTTTTTCCTCTCCAGGTTCCCTTCCCCCATCCCCTCCCTCCCGTGTACCCCCAGTCTTATCTTGCACTTGGAGAATGGGTCGCAGACAGCTCAAGCAGTGTGTTCCAGTCAGCGTGCCTTCCCCATTCCTTTCATGCTTCTCTCCCCCTCCCCCCCCCCATTCACCTCAGTCTTATAATGGCTCTGGAGTATGATTCGCAGCCAGCACAAGCAGCAGCCGCCGCAGCAGCAGCAGGAGGAGGAGGAGAGGGGAGGAGCAATAGGGCAGTCGTGGGGGGATTCATTGCGAGAGGCAATGCTGGGAGTGAAGGTGTCAGCAGCATCGTTTGCTGACCTGCAACTGGCTGCAGACCGGGGGAACATTCTCCACGTGTTGAAGGTGAGTGGGGTTTCTCCATGTGCTAGAGGTGAGGTTGTCTCTTGGGAGTGAGCCTTGGGGACGGGGGAGCGATGGGAGGGCCAACATGGGGGGACTCATTGCGAGAGGCAATGCGTGGGGTAAAGGTGTCCGCGGCATCCTTTGCTGACCTGCAACTGGCTGCAGACCAGGGGAGGGTTCTCCACGTGCTGAAGGTGGGTCGGTCACTTGGGGGAATGGAGGGGTCAATGGAAGGGCAGTCATGGGGGGATGCACTGCGAGACCGCTGTGCCGGGAGTGAAGGCATCTGAGCCCCATGCACAGAGCCCCACTCCCCTTCAGCACATGGAGACTGTTTTTGAGGCGCCTAAAAAATAGACTCACTCTTCCACAGCTTACTGTTCACGGGACCACCCACCCCATCTGCTCAGGTCGTTCGCCCCTAAGTCTGAACTTTGCAACCCCCATCCCCCTTCCTTGCCCCCCATCCCCCTTCCTTGCCCCCCATCCCCCTTCCTTGCCCCCCATCCCCCTTCCTTGCCCCCATCCCCCTTCCTTGCCCCCCATCCCCCTTCCTTGCCCCCCATCCCCCTTCCTTGCCCCCCATCCCCCTTCCTTGCCCCCCATCCCCCTTCCTTGCCCCCCATCCCCCTTCCTTGCCCCCCATCCCCCTTCCTTGCCCCCCATCCCCCTTCCTTGCCCCCCATCCCCCTTCCTTGCCCCCCATCCCCCTTCCTTGCCCCCCATCCCCCTTCCTTGCCCCCATCCCCCTTCCTTGCCCCCCATCCCCCTTCCTTACCCCCCATCCCCCTTCCTCGAGCCCCTCGAGCTGCTCAGCTCGCACCAACCAGTCACGATCTTCAGTGCATCCCCCTCCCCCCTCCCCCCTCCCCTTTTACTCCGCAGGTCACTGTTCACAGGACCACCCAACCCCTCAAGCTGCTCAGCCTGCTTGCCTCTTGACTCTGAACTCTCCACTCTCTCCCCCCCTCCTCTCCCCTCTACTCCCCCCCCCCACAGCTTACTGTTCACGGGACCACCCAGCCCCTCGAGCTGCTCAGCTCGCTCGCCTCCTTCTCCCTCCCTCCTCTCTGTCTCCTCCTCCTCAGAGCCCCCCCTTGCTCCCCTGAAAGCATCAGGCGCAGGTCAGGGGGGAAACCAGAGACCTTTGCTGTGCCGCCCTGTGTGAAAGTGCTGATTAGCTGGGCGGCTAATAGCGGGTTACAGGCGGAGAGATGTGAAGTGGATCCGAACCTGAGGTGTACTTTTTACTCTCCCAAGCATTGTGCTACATTGTTCAGAAAAAATGCGGGCTCCCTGTGAGTGTTTTTCGAATGGTACATAAGCCCTATGAGTTCGTTGAGGATGGTATTTCATTGTGAAGATAGCACGACGTGATATGGGTTTGATTTGAAGATGCATTTTCGGTTGTGACAGAGGTATATGTTTCAAGGTTGTAAAGAAGGTTGCAAACCATATGGAACAACATAGCTGGTACAACATATGTGTGCAACTGGTGCAGTTCAAGTTGGTGAACATACAAATGGGCCGAGGCACATTATAGGGCGTCCAGGTCCGCTCCAAGGCTCCAAGCTGTCAACTTATACATACCTGGACGCCATTATAGGCTAGAATAGGTGTGTGTTCTTAGAGAATACAACACAAACCCTATATCTCCCTTGTTCTCTCTTGTTTCTAATTCATTCTAGTATTCTAACATGGTATCAGAGTAGGTTAGGTCCGCCCACCCACTTCCGCCCCTCGCCCTAGCCTACCGCGCCTCGCCGGCCCCTAGCGTGTCCGCCGGCCCCTAGCATGCCCGCTGTCCCTTACGCGCCGTGCCGGCCCCTCGCGCCCAGCCGGCCCCTCTCGCGCCGTAGCCAACCCCTCACGCCTAGCCGGCCCCTCGCGCCTAGCCGGCCCCTCGCGCCTAGCTGCCCCCCCCTCTCTCGCCTAGCCGACCCCTCTCGCCTAGCCGCCCCCTCGCCCCTCGCGCCTAGCCAGCCCCTACCGCCTAGCCGTGCCCCTCCCGCGCACTGCCGACCCTGCGCGCCTTGCAGGCTCCTCTATACGCGCCAGCCCCTCCCACACCTGCCCGGCCTCTCGCGCGCCTCGCCGACCCCTCACGCGCTTCGGCCCCTTGCACGTCTGCAGGCTCCTGGCCCCACTGGCCCTCCCGCGCCCCTGGGCCCCAAGCACTTCGCCGGCCCCTTGCGCGCCCTGCCGGCTCTGCGCTCCTCGGGCCCTCCTCGACCTTCCGCCCGGTCTCCTAGCCGGCGAGTCCTGCCGCCACGCCGTCGTACCGCCGTGCAGCTGAGTACCCGTGTCCCTGTGCCGATGTGTCCCTGTGCCGCTGTACTGCCGTGTCCCGGTGCTGCTGAGGTTGCACGATGGCGGACGCCATGCTACGCTTGAACGTGGAGGGACACGCGATCGACTTCACGGTCTGGCTTGTCGATCTTCGTCGGCACCTGACAGGTCAGCGCCAGGATGGGCACTCCCTGGCTATGCATGTTGATGGCTTGCTTCCCTGCCCCCCCCGCGCCTGATCCCCTCCCTGCTGACCCCACCACTGCTGAGAGTGAGGCCTTTGATGCTGCTGCGCTCGCTCGCGCTGTCTGGGATTCTCGCGATGCTGTAGCGCAACTTGCCATTAATCATGCGCTTCCCCTATCTGAGCGTCCCCACTTCACTGCTGTAGCAAACGCCAAAGACTTCCTAGATGCAGTAGTTGCGCGCTACTCCACGCCTGCCTCCGCCTCCGCGAGACGCTTGATCCTCCCTAAGCTATTCCCCGATCTCTCCGCTTTCCCCACTGTCGCTGATCTCGCCACTCACCTCCGTGAACTAGAGACAAGCTACCGCGCTGCTAGCACTGCCGCCCAGTTCACAGCTTTCCCCCCACTGTTTTGTGCTACCCTGGACCTTATTGCCATGCGCGTGCCTGACCACTTAGCCACTGCCCGAGACCACTTCCTTAGCCAGCACCCAGGCGACCTCACCCTGACTGCCTTAGTCACTGACGTGTGTGAGATAAAGACTCGCCAACGCACTATCGCTCAGTCCAGCGGTGTTGCGGCAGTCCCTATCTTTCAGGGCTGTGCCCTCCCAGTTCATCTACGCTGACGTTTCCACCGAACTCGCTACGGCTGCCCCGGCCACTGAGACCGCAGCTGCGACAGCGTAGGGGCCGCCGCAGCCCCAAGGGAGGGCGTGGTGGTGGTGCTCGTGGTGGTAGTGGTGGTGGCGGGGATAGTGGTTCGAACGAGGGGGTTAGGGCTGGTGTCCAGGAGCAGCAGCAGCAGCAGCCACAGCAACAGCAACAGTCGTGGGCCCGCCTCCCGCCGGGGTGGCCAGGAGCCCCAGGAGGTGGTGGCTGCGGTGGCGGCCCCCGTTGCTCGGCATCTACTGGCGGCTTCGGTGCTGTGAGCTGCCAGCACCAGCTCCAGACGGGGCCCCTTCGTGGCACTGTGTGCTGCCGCCCGCACCCAACCACCCTCTGTTTTCGCCGCCTCGACGACCTCTTCCGTCGCCGCTTCAGCCCGGCCCCGGACCTCCCCGACTGGCCCAGTCAGCTCCGTCACGGTGTGCCTGTGTTTGATTTAGACATGGATCAAATTAGTTATGCCCTACATTCTCTGTATGCTGATGCTTCTAGTGTGCTCAGATCTTATTATCCTGTGTTCTCTAGCTTAGGCGTAGCACCTATGTGTAGTACAGACTCCCCTGATGCGTCAGGCGTAGGGCCGTTTACCCTGCCTAGCCTAGGCTCTACCCTTGCTCCTCCTTTGTCTGCCGCTAGTAATTCGCTGTCCTTCACGCTCGACTCTGGTGTGTCTGCCTGCTTCTTCCGCAACCACGCCACCCTCACGCCGCTCGATGCGCCTGCCTCTGTCGCACTTGCTAACCCCTCTTCTGGTCCTTTCATTGCTCGCAGCTCCACTACCCTTCCCTGTTTAGCGGCCCCCTCGGGTTGCCTTTCAGGCCTGCACATCCCCTCGTTCTACAGGAACTTAGGTGGTGTCGGCTGTCTTCAGGACCTCGGCGTCACTACTACGTTCCCTGGTCACGAGCGGTACGCTGTCTGTACCGAGGCCGCCTCAGGTGCCCCCCTTGCGACATTCCCCCGGGACCCTATGTCTGGCCTCTTTATGCTGGACACTGCTTCCCTCTCGGTGGGCGAGTCCTCCCCGGGTCCTGCGTCTACCCAGGTCGCTGTGGCCTGCTCGTGTTGGTCGCTCACTTACTTGTCGCTTCTGTGGCACCGCCGCCTAGGTCACCCCGCACTCCCGCGTCTACGTCACATGTCTCAGCACGGTCTAGTCCTATGTCTCCTTGCGTTGCTTCCTGCCCTCCCTCCCTCGCCTGTGCCGCCGTGCACGCCGTGCGTCAAGGGCCGGCTGTGCCGTGCTCCTCACTCCTCTTTGCTTCGCCCTGCCACCGCACCCCTCCAGACCCTGCACCTGGACGTCTAGGGCCCAGCCCCCATCCCTGGACCGCGTCGCTCGCGAGCGCTACTTTCTTGTGCTCATGGATGACTTCACGCGCTACACCAGGGTGTTTCCCCTGGAGCGGAACGCCAACGTGCCTGACGTTCTTATCCCGTGGGTCATAGCTGTGCACCTCCACCGCGGTCTCCCTGTGCTGTGTCTCCACTCCGATCGTGGCGGCGAGTTCTCCCCTGGTCGGCTTGAACAGTTCTGTTGTGCGGAGGGCATCACCCAGTCGTACACCCTACCGCACTCCCCGCAGCAGAATGGGATCGCTGAGCGACGCATCGGTTTGGTCATGGAGGTGGCTCGTACCTCTATGATTCATGCCGGTGCACCATTTTCTGTGGCCATTCGTCGCTCGCCACGCCGCTCACCAGCTTAACTTGTGGCCGCGCTCCCAGCGGCCACATGTTTCGCTGACCCTTCTTTGGACCGGGTTCCCTGGTGACGCGTCCGCATTCCACGTCTGGGGCTGCCTTGCTCACGTCCGTGCCTCTGGCACGCACAAGCTCACTGCCCACACTGTCCCCTGTGTCTACCTCAGTTTCCCCCTTGACTCGTCTGACTGGCACTTTTACTACCCGCCATCTCACCGCTTCTTACACTCTCGTGATGCCACTTTCGACGAGTCTGTCTTCTTTTACCACCGCTTTCCCCACCGAGGTCTCCGGTTTTCCCTCCCCTATTTCTGGTTCCCACATCTCCGGTAGCCCCTGCTCCCCTCCCTCCCTCTCCTGCTCCCCTCTCTCCCTCTCCTGCTCCCCTCCCTCCCTCTCCGTCTGGTGTGTCTCACGTCACTCCCCTCCCGTCGGTTGTCCCGGTCGAGGAGTCGGCTGACTCTGGTGGCCCCGAGGCATTGTTTCCGCTGCCGGCCTCTCCCCCGGTGTCTCCTCTTCCGCTGTCGCAGTCGCCGCCGCCGCCACCGCAGCAGCAGCCGTTCGTGGAGTCTGGGGGTGTTGGCATTGAGGAGGGTGCTAGTCCTGAGGTTCTTGTCATGGCTTGTCCCGGCGGGCCTGGGGGTGGCATTGGTGCTGGAGGAGAGTTCTCGCTCGGGGGGTGCCCGTTCAGGGGGGACAGGAGTGGAGTGTTACGAAGGAAGCCGTGGTGCAGCTGGCGGTCCCGGCGTTGGTGTTGAGCAGCAGAAAAAGCAGTCGCAGCAAATGTCCGCCCTTCGCCTCGTCGGCCTTCCCTCCCCTGACCGCTCGCCTACGCCTCCCCTGCCGCCTCCTCCTCTTCCTGTCTACGGCCCTGTGTTCCCTCTGCCAGACTCATCTCCAGCTCATCTTCCCCCTCGTTTCCCTCTTGTGTCTCCTCCTCTGTCTCCTGACTCGACGCCTCCGTCTCACGTCTGGTCTCGCCGTCCCTCTCGTGCTCGTCCTGTCTCTCCTGTTCTGCGTTCTCACCCTATGTTGCTTCTTTCCCATGCGCTTCGTCCTCCCCTCCTGCCTCTGCCTCCTCCTCCTCGTAGCTCGCAATCGTGCCTCCCCCTCTGTCTGACTACCTTCGTGCCGCTCGTCCTCTCGTTCCTCATGTCCTTGCCTCCCTCGTTACCGACCCGTCTGTCCCTGTCTCGAGTCTTGACGCTCTTGTCGCTGCCGTCGCTTACTTCGCCTCTACCCGCCTCCTTGACTACGCCACCGCTCTAGTATCTGACCTTGTCTGTCCTTTGTTCATCGGGGGTGCGTCTGCCCTTTGGCAGTGACGTCCTAGAGGACTGACAGTATGAGCTCGCTTTCTTGTCTCAGGCCACTCCCCATCTCTGCTCTATGCTGCTAGTCCCTGAGGGTGACCCAAACGCCCTTGACATCCCGACCCCTCGCACCTACTCTGAGGCCACCTCAGGACCCTGGGCCTCTCAGTGGATAGCTGCCATGGAGCAGGAGATGGAATTTTGGAGATCCATCGGTACCTTCGTCGACCCAGTTCCCCCACCTGGGGTGAACGTAGTCGGGGGTCGGTGGCTCTTCAAGGTGAAGCGCCCCCCTGG